CATTTGCATTATGTAACACACAGTTAAAACTATCATCCTCACTCTAGAAATTATACTCCCTCACATGGCTTCCAATCTACCACCTAACCTAGAGTTCTGGGGAATTAGACAGTTAAGACATTCTGATTTGAATGGTGGAGATAATATAAATGGGCCAGATATTTGGCATGAATAATATGAAGGTGATGTCCAAATGCCAAATCATTTGTTGCATTATTTTATTTTTGTGTCTTTACCATGGTGCTCGTTTCTTTTCTGAAACGACTATTGACTTGTATATGCACATGAATTTCCCTGGGTATTCAAAATTGCTCCTTTTTTTGTTTGTGTTTGCCTATAATACTTAGGGAAAATAAGGTCAATTTAATTTTCATTTCATTTGCTTTGCCTCAATATAAAACAAAAGTAGTACTCAGTTTCTACTTGATGATTAGAATAATAGCTAATCTTATCAAGGCCAGAAATGTGGATGGTAACTTGAAATTTTATCACCTATAAGTCAATATTAATAGAAGAAAGAGAATTAGCTATATCAAAATAAATATAAATATCATAAGTAGAGTCATATTTGAAACCCAGTATATATGTAATAAAACTATTTTGGAAAAAGAATACTTTCTCCTTGTTTATCATTTTCATGCTAGCCTCTGTGAGGTGGCTAGCTATAAAAGAGTTCCTTTAATGATCAGATTCAATATGTAATTCTTTAAGCTGCCATTCATTTTAACCATAAAATTGTGTGTATGTAAATAAATCATGGTCAGTAATTTTTGTTATAAGGAGAATATGGCATTTATTGCTAAATATCTTGAAAACCTAACTTCTGCTTGTTTTACTATTTCCCACATTATGCTTTGATTTTAAGTGAAACAAACGCATCTGTTTTCTCAGATAACAAAATTAGTACTTGCAGGGTACATATTTCTTTTCCAATTACTTTTATTTATCTTACAGGCAGAATAGTATCTTGACCTCTCTATTACATTCCACAACACCAAAATATCTACAACTCTGTGTCAATATCAACAACTACTAAAAATTGAGCGAGCAATTTACAACTATCTGCAATTAAGGGATCCCAAAGGCATATCAGTGTAATCAATAAAACCGTGTTTATGCATTAAGACACAAATAGCCATCATAAACTTAGTACCTCGAGCATTTTTCTTATTGTGATAGTTACACAGATTTGGGAAACTGAGGAGCACATTGGCCAGTCACCAATGATCATGAAAAAGGAAACACAAAGAAGTGCCTATTTTGCTGATAGTACGTGTTCAGCTCTTTAGCTTGACATTGTGTTATCCCTTCCAATTCATCAGAAATCAATACCACATGTGCCTCGAGCTTTTCTACAGATGAATGATTTGATGAAGATGTCCTCATCGGAAACTGAGATCATTCATGGTTATCTTCAGTTGAAACATTTCAGAAGGCTTTGCTGAACCTAAAGAATGCCCAGTCTCAGACTGCTGGGTGATCAGCGACATCTAGTGGCCATGATGTCCCTAAACAAACATAGTCAAGGGTAGTCATAAAACAAGCAGAATGTCCGCGATGCATCATCTTTAATATTGACACAAGCTTATTTCCAATAAACTGTATCGGAAAATTACGGACACTTCCTAGTAGATTTTCTCTGATTCAGTAATTATATAAATTTAAGGAAAAGCCAGCACTGGCTTCTAATCTTTATTCTTAATGAACCTCCCTGACATCGGTAAATATCCTTTGTAGTTTTTATAAAAATCCAATTTAGGTTTTCTCATGTCTGAGTTCTTGCTTCTAACAAGGTGACAAACAACAGTGATCAGTTTTGTGGATCTTGTATGAGTACATGGACTGTAATGTTCCAGCAACAAATTTCATTCTATACAACAGTGCGCTGAGGTGCACAATTAAGACATCATAAAAGCTGCCTGTCTGTTAATGATTGCTGGATTGAGTTCACACCAGAAATGTTATTAATTTTTTGTAAACACAGAACATCCAGTTCATCAAGCTTTTCTGAAACAACTGGATCGTGAAATGGAATTATAGAAGCCTTTACCATCAGAAAGTCATTGTGTCCTAACAATGACTGACTCCTATTAGAGAAATAGTCCAGTTTTTTGCTCTCTTGCACAGCCAATGTGGGGCAATCAATCCAAGCAAGCTTCTGTGGCTCGCTGGACCCTTGGATCCTTATTCTCTTTGCCAGAGACCTGAGACTCTGGCAAAGAGAATAAGGCATCTCTGCCCAGCTCTAGAGCATCATCTGTCTGCCAGGCACCAAGAAAAATTTCTCCCAAGCCAAACTGTCGGATGCAGCTCTGCGGCTGACCATGGGACACACTAGGATTGTCCTTTCACATGGACTGAGGCACCCCCAAGTTGCCTAGGTATATATGAATGGATATTGGTGACATGACTATCTAGCTGTTTACTTCATCTCCTATACATTAACTGCCAGCGGCTAAGACTAGACCTTTGTCTTCCTCTGGAACTTCTAAGGATTTGTTGAGGATCATAAATCGATGCAAGGCCCGGATGACAGTTTTTGGGTGAACACACCAGCCTCCCAAATGCAGAATGGGCATGTTTAGTACTCCCAGCCCCTCAAAACCCACTACCCAGCCGCATGGGACTGGACACAACGATCCATAGGCACCAGCGAATTGGGGAACCGTGACAAGAAAGGAACTTTTTTTTATGTCACTTCATGTCTTCATGTAAATGCTAAGCAGACATGCTTGCGTGGACATCTCACACCAAGTACATAAGCGGTTCACCTTATTAAATCAACGGATGCCTGCGTGACTCAGACGCAGTTAGAGTTAACACTCAATTCAATGAGGTGCTATAATAGAAAGCCTGGGTTTTCTCCAGCCACTCAACCTCATAAATCCTTAGCCTCATTTTCCCAAGGCTCTTAGCTAAGGGAGGATGTGGGGGCAGTGGGCACAGGTCATCAGAGTAATGTTTCCTTGGGGGACAGGCAGCTCTGAAGGTTTCTGGAGGCTTCTGGAAGTTGTACTCCACGGCTCTGCTCTGGACAGCGTAGACTTCCTTCTCCCTTTCTCCCTCTCCCTTTTCTCTTCGCTCCCTTATTTCTGCCTGAAGCCCGTCCTGCTAACATGGAGCATTGCTGCTCCCTGCTGCTGTCGGAACCCCATGCTGTGTAACAAACAGGACGCCTAAATTCCAGGGGCAAATACTGCTAACTACTCAGCACTCGGCATATCAAAATAGTCTCAGATGAAGAGCTATGGGCAACCTCAGGTTATTATTACTGTTTGCTTGTAATAATAACCTTCCCCCCCAAAAAAAATAAAATTCAGAACCTAAACTGGCATTTTGAGTTCAGGGACTATTATGTACCTATCAGCATTAACGTGCCTGGACCTTTGTGCGTGTTTTAAGGAGAGATTCGTTTAGGTTTGCAAATCAGTCATCGTAGCATGACCAGCCCCGTAATGTTCCTTGCCACCTCCCTGACAGAAACTACCCAAAGAGTAAAGTAAGATATGGTTTGTGCTGGTTGCCCAGGGTCATTCTTCGCTGGGCCTGGCGGAGTGGACAAGGCTGAGAGCTAAATGGTAGGGTGAGTTGCCACCACAGGATCCCCGCAAGCCTAGAAATAATTTGGTCTGGGCCTAATTATTAATACCAGGTTTCCAACCCTCTTTCTGAATAGCATGAAAGCGAAATAAGCCATTCCCGCGACCAAACCAACCACCAGGGTGGTGCCAAGGACTCTGGGGGCCCTCTTCCTGGCCACGCGGAGCGCCGTGGGCAGCACCGCGGAGATGAGGATGTTGTTGACATGCCCCAAAACCTTGTTAAACGTTTTCCTCTTCAAGACGCGCTCGTAATAGGTTTCCAAGTTGGGTCGCTTTCCATTCCCCCAGTTTCTCCTCGCAAACCCCAGGAACTTCAGGCGATGCAGCGTGACAGCGAGCGAGACGTCGGCCAGGGTGAAGGACTCCCCACACAGCCAGGGCTGGCGACCCTCTTCTAATCAGAGAAAGGGACATGGGACACAGAGTTAGGGCCTTGCCCACACACACAGGCCGACTCTACCTGGCGGCATCTTGCGTGTCTCAGTCTTGAGTGCAGGTGTGAGGACAGCAGGAGATGAAGGCCATGGTACATTGCCCTGGCAGCCCTACTCGGCGAGTAATTTTATGCTAAAAACAAAGGCCATGCATACGTATCCCAGGCTCAGGGAGACTTAACATCTGCCAACCACCTCAGTTAGTCCCTAAGTGGAACTGGGGTCCTTTGAGCTCAAAGCCCATCTATCATTTGGGATAACAACAACAACATTGAATGCAGGAAAGCCCTGATATCTCATTGCCGGTCAGTCTGCATCGACGTGAAATAGGACCCCTGAAGAATTCTTCTGCACAATTTAGGTTATGATTGTGCAATTCCAACCTCGCCTGTTTCACAAACATGTTGTTATAGTAGTTTGTTTAGTTGAGTGACCTGAGTAGGTGCTTGAATGCTCCCTCTGATTCTTTCCTTAGGCAGAGGGACAATTCTCATCTACAGTCAGGGATGAAATGAGGTCAGCACGTGCAGACGGGCAGGCCGGCTGGGGAGCATCCACGCACTGTACCTGTGCTCCTGACTTAGCGTGCAGCCAGGGCTCAGGTGCAAGCACGCCGCCCCCGTCCAGGGTGCTGTGCAGGTTGACAGCAAAGCTGATGACCCCGTTAGCTGACACTTGCTCCGCGGAGGAACTCTGGTACACTTCCCATCGTGACTGAGAGCAGCACTCACCGGGTGACACTTCAGGCCCGACTTTATGGATATTCCTAAAGCTCACCTATCATTTCCCTAACCCAGAGGAAATATCGGTTAACTCCTCTGGCATTGAGGCTCTCAGCTTCTCAGGATTGTTTACTAAATCCAAACTGCCCATGAAAATAATGGGAGAGCATTGTTATTGAAGTCTAAGACTGTTCCTAGACACTCCTGGGGTCCAGGGAAAAGGAATACAAGTGAGAACCTACCTGGGGTTTCTTCGTTTCTTCTTTGCAACTCCGTTTCAACCTGATCCAAGACTTTCTCCAACTCATCCAGAATTTTCTTCAAATATTTGACATTGTCATGGTCCAGCAGCTTTGACTAATTAACAAAAATAATGCAATGGGTTACTTATGCCTGTAAAAACAAGCGATGAAGAGCAAAGCAGATGTAAACTATTGTTGGGAACCGTTTGTTGTAAATGAAAAGAACTACAATAGCTTCCTTAAAGCAAAAGCTAAGTTGTGGGGGAAGGCGCCGCCGTGCAAATGCCCCAGGACCAGGGCCGCTGCTCCCTGGCCACTCCTGTGCACCGGAGGGCCAGAGAAGGCGAAGAGGATGAGGGCACAGAGATGCTTCTCAGGCCCAGCTCAGGAGGGGGACGTCAGTGGGCTTTGCTGAATGAGTACCTGGAATAACTGAAGGCTCTGGGTGAGAGAGAAACTTGACGGCAGTGAGGCACGGAGCGAGTGGGAAACAAGCAGTGCTGTGTGCAGGTGTCCCGTCTCTTCTGAGATGCTCCTTTAGCTCAGAAAAGGTAAAGGAAGATGGGAAGCTGCGGGAGGGTGGGTGTTGTTGCTTGCTACATCTTTAGTATGGGAGAAGCTGGCACGCATGGCTGGGCCATAGGAAAAAATCAACAGAAAGAGAAAGGCTGCCTGGTTGGCATGGCTCAGTGGTTGAGAGTCAACCTATGAACCAGGAGGTCCCCGTTCGATTCCCAGTCAGGGAACATGCCTAGGTTGTGGGCTCAATCCCAGTGTGGGGCATTGCAGGAGGTAGTCAATCAATGATTCTCTCTCATCAGTGATGTCTTTATCTCTCTCTCTCCCTTTCTCTCTGAAATCAATTAAAAGAAAAAATTTTGAGAGAGAGAGAAGGGTCAACTGTAACTGATGAAGCCCTTAGGAGGCAGAGAAGCCACAGGCAGAGGACAGCCTAGGCCTGATGTGCAGAGCACCTGCAGTGGCAGAGGCCTCGAATGTTCTGTTAACCTGCTCTTACCTTTTGGGACTGTGCTTGGGAGCCAGCACGCGCAAGATCTGCTGTGTGAGCAGCTGCCGTTAGGTCTAAATATCAAGCCGACTACAGAAAAATTCTTTCTGAAAGCGCAGCATGAGCCCAAGGCAAATGGTGTGCTGGTGACCTGCGGTCTCTAACAGGAGAGGTTCTAGAAACAGTGCTAAGGGCAGAACACTTAGCACAAGCAGCGGGGGTCCGCTGAAGACACCTGGTCTACTCACTTTCAGTCGCTTCTGCTTTGCGATGTAGGCCTCTTGCAAATCTGGGTTTTCTTCAGCGAGTTTCTTCAGTTCGGACTCTGTGTTACCAATTTGGCCTGAGAAGGAAATCATTTTTGAAATAGAAAATTATTTCCTTCCTTCTGTCCGAGAAACAAGGAGAAGGGGAAACTCGGCGGTAAGAGCAGGAGTTCATGGGTTCATGCCCTGCCTCTGCCTCGGGCTCCCCCTTTCTGTGCCTCAGTTTTATCACCTTTAACATGGGCCCATCAGAGTACCTACTCAGAGGGAGGATCCAATGAGAATCTGAGGCACAGCCAGGGGGAGCTGAGGGAAGGAGCCGAGGGAAGGCCCAGAACGTCGTAAGTGCTGGGTGCAGGGTACTTGCTCTACCTTTCCAGACCTTTCAAGTTTTCTGTAAGGAACTCCTATTTGCAGAAAAGGGCAAAGCCTTCTTTAAAATATATATATATACAAATTCTAGGTGGCAGAATTGTATCTATCTTGTTTCAAATCATAGACGAGTCTTTATGAAGAGAAAGAGGGGGGACAAAAGGAAGGTGAGAAGCAGGAAGAGAGCGGAGAAAAAGAGAGTGTGGAAGAGGAGGGATGGGAAGGGAGAGGAGAAGAGGGAGGAGGAGAGGTACCAAAAAGAAAGAAAAATAACATAAGACAATGATAAAGGTGAGGCTTGGAAAGAATGTAGTTTCTAGGTTTAGAAGATGGAGGTGTGTGTTTCTAGTCAGACATCCACAGAATCTGACCACAGCCACCTTCCCCAATTTTCCTGTCCCCAATTATTATGCCACAGCGCACCCTCCCTCTGTTCCACACCTCATGTAGCAACCTACTCCTTCCGCAGGCCAGGACAGGGTAGAAGAGAGCCAGATGGCTCATTCAAGCCCTGTAACTCTGCAGTCATTAAATTTAGAGGAAAGTGAAACAGCCTGAAGTTCAGCTTCCTCACACAATGAAAGGGAAGAACCAGAAATGTGAATGAGCTCAATTGCCTCTGTTCCCCACAAATGCCACCTTTCCAGATTCCCAGTCCAGCTGTCCATGAGAATGCGTCATGGTCTTTACTTAGCCAAGCTTGGTGCTCAAAGCCAAGAGCTGGAAAATCAGGACCTATGGGCCATGAATGCCCAGCTGAACCGCTAAAGCACAGATCACTCTGGGCGCATGATCCACCTATCACACGCCCATCCGTGAAGCAAACTCAGCAACTCTGTTCCCATCTCCTCTCAGTGCTCATGCTAGATCTTAAATGAATTAAAAGAAACTCAGGACAGAATTCAAATCATTAAGGTTTTTACATACTGCGAATCCTTGTTGTTGCATAAGCTGGGATCATGGAGTCCACGGTCAGCTCCGGGTGCAAAATGCAGCCATGCGTATAAGCATCCATTGGCAAGGAGTCGAGCAGTTCCCGATAGTGTTGGACCCGTGGGTAATACATGCTTCCTTTGTCAGGCATTAACCTGGGCGTTTTTTCTAAAGTGCATATACAAACACATACACACACATTAGAGGGAACATTATCAATGAAATATTATATCAGAAACAAAAATCCAACATCTCATCATTAACATTTTCAATATTATATCAAGGCTTTAACAGATATCTCCCCAGCCCAGAGATTTCAATTTCAAAATGGCCTAAAGTACCAGGCCAGATCCCAAATCATGATCGTTCTGGCATTCTCACACTTCTCTGCCTTACTGATTACTGCTCAGCCCTCAAGGTGTAGACATGCCAGCTCTTTCACAACTACAACTACCCGTATCTAACTGGGCCAGGCATGCCTTCCTCTGTACACACAAAATACCGTGAACATACTCCATTAGAGCCCTGATCATCTTAATTATTTGTATCTTTTTGCCCATGAACCTCTGCCAGGGAAAGGGGCCTATGTTTTAGGGTCTAGCATAGTGCCCCATACATTTCAGGCCCTTGGTGAAGGTTGGTTAAGAATGCAAGCTCATTACAGACAGATGTGCAGGGACTAATCTCTCCTAGGTTTCCAATTAACCCCAAGAGTTACCCTATTGATGCTAGTGATTGTGAAATGACAATCTTCATGGAATTTCTAATATCTCTGGAAAGTGGATTTTACACGAATCCTCATTTTCTGGTTAAAATCTAGACTATAGACTCCTTGAGGACAAGGACCATGTTCTTTTTTGCATCCTCAATACTTAATACCATATTTGGCTCAAAATAGGTACACAGTAAATTTTAATTAACAAATTAATTCATACATTCCCAAATTACTAGGAATTATAGACAATAGCAGACACATGTATGTATTCATGGTTTCACTTTCCATTGCTTCAGCTACCTGCATTCAACCATGATCCAAAAACATTAAATGAAAAGTTCTAGAAATAAGCAATTCATGTTTTGCGTTGCACGCCATTCTGAGTAGCATGATGAAATTTCATGCTGTCCCTTCCTGTCAGTCACTTAGTAGCTGTCTCAGTTATCAGATCCAAGTGTCACAGCATCACAGAGCTTGTGTTCGAGTCACCCTCTTTATTTCATAATAGTCCCAAAGCCATTCACATAACTTTTATTGCAGTGTGTTGTTATAACTATTCTGTTTTATTATTGTTATTGTTGCTAATCTCTTCCTAGTACTAATTTATAAATTAAACTTTATTACAGTCATGTATGCATAGGAAAAAAACATAATATGTAGGGTTTGGTACTATCCACAATTTCAGCCATCTACTGGGGTCTTGTATCTATCTCCAGCAGAAAAGTGGACTACTGTATTTGAGCTGGAGAAGTTCTCCAGTATAAGGGCACTGAGATATAGAAGCCAAGACATTCTCCCAAGATCCCACAGCTAATTAGAGGCAGAACAAGAACTAAAATCATCTATCTCTTAATACAGTGCTCTGTTTTATTACATCACCATATCTTTTAAAAAAAACAAACTTACTTTTTAGAGACTAAAGATGATAAAGATGAATTACATGCCCCAAAAATGTCCCTTCAGAATCACTTCCCATTTCCACCTCTCAAACTGCCCGGAAAAAACAAAAATGCTAACTACCTTATTCCAACAAGTGAAAAGAACTGTTTTATTGATTTATTTCTCAGTTTGGGTTATTTATTGAACTTAGAATCCTTTTGAGTATCACCCACTCATTCATAAGTGTTGACAATTCAGAGTTGGTTGCAGGGAAAATTTCATAATGCCAGACCCAGTAGCACAAGTTTTTGAAGCCAACAGGCTATTTCTGACTCTCTAAGAAAACACAAGATGGATTGTTCTTCAAACTGCTAGGTTATCCAATTCTGAAGGCCGCATTAGGATCATCCAGAATAAAGTGTCAGCTACACCCCGCCTGCCAACAGGGGATTTACCCAACCAGAGCACAGTTCCTTGCTGACCTTCCAAGATCTCTTGATCTCAGTGTATCACTGGGAAGCCAACCAATCAATGCACATCCCACTTCCATGAGTACAACATGCCAGATGCCTTCTAAGGTCCTTGAAATGCTGAGAGTTCTTAACCATTTATGGACCACCACCCTCTGCTCAAAATATTATTCTTAAATGTGTGAAATACAAGCTGTGTTAGCACTCCGTGTGGTCAAGTAATCCATTATGAGAATCACTCATTCCGAGTAGATTCTTGCCCTTGATCATGAGTCCTAGAAAGAGAAGACCTGAGCTGACCCTGCAGTCTGGGGTTGAGGCCAGCCTGTATGAGGCAAACTCAGCTAATCTACAAGATGTAATCATGAAAATAAATTCTTGTTGTTGTTTGTTTTTTAAAGGCATAAAATACAAGCATAGGATTGTATAGGAAATTGATATTAAAATACAGTTATGAAAGTAACTTTAAATGATAAAATACTAATATGGGTGCCTATGTGTAAATATATTAACAAGATTTAGCAGCAAGTCTAGCATTCAAAAAAAGTGGAGCATAAATGATCATTTTATTTATTTGTTTTTTAAATATATTTTATTGATTTTACACAGAGAGGAATTGAGAGGGACAGAGAGTTAGAAACGTCGATGAGAGAGAAACATCGACCAGCTGCCTCTTGCACACCCCCCACTGGGGATGTGCCCAAAACCAAGGTACATGCCCTTGACTGGAATCGAACCTGGGACCCTTCAGTCCGCAGGCTGACGCTCTATCCTCTGAGCCAAACCAGACCCGGCATAAATGATCATTTTAAATATCTGCAATAACTTGATATGCTATGAGCACATCTGTGATTCCTATTGGTAACAAAGTCAGAGGCGTTCCTGCTACTGCTGTGATTATGCCTACATTAGAAAGGAGAGGAGATAATAAATGTCTACTGGAAATTAGTGAAAACAAGATATAATTTCCCCCATCTAAATGAGATCTCAAATCTGAATTCTATTCATAGACCACAAAGGACAAGTGTCCTCTGAGAATCCCTGAGCTTTCCCAAGACACTCTCAGGGGCTCCCCAAGGTCAAAGCTGTTTTTTTGTAATTTGAAGATGTTGGTTGTTTTTTCACTCCCCTCTCTCCGTGTACAGCATTGTGCAGGGACTTCCTGACTCCTCCCTCCCACAGTGCATGGCGCTTAGGCCTGTGTGTTGTGACTTCTCTTCGCTTTATCTGCCAGTGTGGTCGATATTGATGGATGTGGCCCAGGCATCCTCAATAATGTCTAACACAAAGTGACCCAGAAACCAAAAAGTTCAAGAACCAGTTACTGCTTTAGGACTCTAAGAACCTCAGCTTAATACCGTAAATGGTGCAGCATACTTTTTTTTTTTAATATATTTTATTGATTTTGTACAGAGAGGAAGAGAGAGGGATAGAGAGTTAGAAACATCGATGAGAAAGAGTCATCAATCAGCTGCCTCCTGCACACTCCCTACTGGGGATATGCCCGCAACCAAGGTACATGCCTTTGACCGGAATCGAACCCTGGACCTTTCAGTCCCCAAGCCAATGCTCTTATCCATTGAGCCAAACTGGTTTCAGCATGCAGCATTCTAAATGCTTCCCAGGTGGTTAAACTCCTGGTTCCTGGTCGTGGCTGCCTTCTGGTGCCAGGCCTGAGGCTTGTGTCCAGGAGAACAGCCTCGTACCCCTGGAAGGTGGGAGAGAGCAGGGAAAAGAGGCCTAGTTGCTATCTGGGGAGGGAGGCTTCATGTGGCCAGGCTGAGTCTTCCAATGTTGAAATGCAAGCAAGTAATGCTCTTGACCCAGTACACCACTGCTACCATGTTTCCCCAAATATAAGACATCCTCCGAAAATAAGACCTACTTGCAGGTTTCCTTCTGAGTGAAGTATAAGGCATCTCCCCGAAAAGAAGGCCTATCTCCAGACTCTTGATATTGCAATAAACAAGCCATTCAAAGACAATTTGCGCATGGAAATTAATGACTACATTGAAAATAGAATGGAGAAAAATCAGCGTGGAAACTTTGTGAAACCTAAACTGCAAGAAGTTGTGACTTGGTTGAAGAATTCATGGGAGAAAATCACTGACAGTTGCATTGCAAATGCACTACGAGCAGGCTACCTTGACAAGAAGTATTCATTTAAAGACAGTGCTATTGCTAAACATGAGAGATTTGGTCCACTGATTCTGAAAGAAATGGAGTCACAAGAAATTCACCAGGAAATTCAGGAATTGGATTGTTATGATGATGTTCCAGAAGATGATGACATAATTGTCATTGAATAAATGAGTAAATTCTTGATACTGTAGGATTCACAGTTTGTCTGGTTTGTGTTGACAACTACCATACTACTGTACCGTATACAGGTAATAAATTTCCTTTATTTTCATTTAACAATAAATGTGTACCGTATTCTTCTTCATGGAAAAATAATACATCCCCTGAAAATAAGACCTAGCGCATCTTTGGGAGCAAAAATTAATATAAGACACTGTCTTATTTTCAGGGAAACAGGGTAGGTCTCTCTCTCCCGAAACACTGTGTCAATGCAAAAAACACCTGCGGGTTCTGCTCAGCCTCGCCAGAGGGCGCCCTGCCAGGACCATGTGCACCATGGGCCGCCACCTCCTGTCACCAGAGCACAGCAGTCCAAACACAGCTGGGAATTTCCTCTGAACTACACACCTCTTCCCTCTCACTCTTATCAACTTTTATTTGCTAGTCCTTTCAGCTTTGTTATCATCCTGCGGAAATTAATAAACAAAACCCTCCTTTCAATTGAGTCCGGAGGCTGAAGAACTCTAACACAACGTGTCTCTCAGAGCTCACTACTGACCCCACGGGGAGACACGCACCAGCACCTCCAACACACTCCTCCCACCTCAGCTGGAGGAGGAAAAGGTTCCTCCCAGCCCAGTAACAGCTCCGCCAATGGAAGGCCTCCAAACTCAGCCAATGAGAAGTCACTAACTAATCTTCACACTTTCAATTTCCTCCAATGGATTCTTTGTTTACAACACTCCCTCCTATGTCCATACAAGAGTGTATTCCCCTTGTTTCTCTGCACTTGCACATGGTTC